GGCCGTCGATGGCAGCGAGGAAAGCATGAACGCCTTACGGTGGGCGCTTCAAAATCTCAAGCTCCGACCATCGGCGCCGGGCGTCACTGACAGCACTTTTATTGTGCTGCATGTTCAACCTCCTCCTTCAATCGCTGCCGGTCTCAGTCCTGCTCCAATCCCCTTTGGTGGTCCTAGTTGAGTACCGAACTAATAATTTTCTCGCGCTTGTTTCTGAGCTGATGTTGAAAGTTCTCTGAATTCAATGTTTTAATTGGATGTAGCCGATCTGGAGGTTCCTGCTTTCACTGCAGCGATCGAGTCGCATCAGAGGCGGATTACGGCTGCGATATTGGAACATGCTTCACGGATTTGCGCCGAGTACAAGGTTAGGCTCAAATTGGTTGAAGCTTTCGTATAAATTCATTTTCATTATGCTATTTCAACTTGATTATTGCTGTTGAGTTGCGATTATACGAGTTAGCGTAGTTATTTAACTCGGATCGCAAGTTTATTAATAGATTTTAACATGTCAATTAGTCGTTAGTGGACTTGAGTCGTTAAATTTTCAGAAACTACGATGATTGTCAGCGTGTGGTGGAGTATGGTATGCCACGAGTAAAAGAGTAAAGAAGAACAATCTCAGTTGAAGATTCAGACTCCTTTGGCCTTGTTCGTCTTTTCTTTCACTTTTTTCTCCCAAAACTAACGAAATGATTTTGGAAACGAACCTCCAATAATTTGCTTGAGAATGTGTATATGTGGTGTGTTATTGCTTGTCAAATGTTTAGTCTCAATATTTCTGGGGTATCAATTTCAAGTCGGCATATCATTTTTTCCATTTAAACTAATGGTCGAAGCACATTTCATTATGGGATTTTTAGATGAACGTGGAAACAAAAGTAGCAATCGGAGATCCAAAGGATAAGATCTGTGAAGTGGCTGAGAATTTGCATGCTGATTTGCTAGTTATGGGATCCCGTGCCTTTGGTCCTATCAAAAGGTATGGTTTTATTATATATTTCAGTTTGTCTTGCTATTGTATGTCTCTACTTTTCTGCAAACCACACTATAATCAACTATTAGTCGTTGCTTCACACGTACTTTTCTGCAAACCACACTATAATCAACTATTAGTCGTTGCTTCTTCGTGTGAACAATTCCAGCATTGTAGATTTGCGAATCTTGATGCACGTGACACTGCATAGAAATTAGGCTCTGTCGCGTCTGTTTGTACTGTGTTGCTAACTTGTGCACTATCGAAGTAGGTAAAGATTCCAACTGTTTTGTTTAAAGTAAACTCCAATTACGTCAAAGAATTCATGAAATCATTTGCTTGCATATCCCAAGTATTCCAGTTTTGCCTCCTAATTATAAGTAAAGCTAGAATGACTTTGAAGATATGAATAACCTGGTAGGTCTCAGAGACCTAGCATTCACAATAACACTAAGAATGAGGGGCAGAAGAACACACAAGTACTCTCCCTCTTAGAGAAAACTCTAAGCCCAAAATACGAACAAGTTCCAATGCCATACAAAGGCTTGCTCTGCAAGATATGTGTGAGGCTTCCCATTGTTCATACGTATGTTAGAAAGGCAAGGAAGGAAATTCACTGCTGACAGTTAGTTACAAGTCAGAATGGTGCAGTTAGTGTGTGCGTGTGAATATATGATGTCAGGAGGCCTGCTGTGTAAGGTAGGTTTCTTTTGTAATAAGAGAAGAGGTGAGGAGGGAGAGTTTTCCAGCCCTCTCTAACAGCTAGGTATTTTGTAAGGCCCTAGACTTGTTTATCGGCAACTAATCTAGCTCCTGAAATATATGACATTCTTGATCCTTCCTTTTTTTCTACTCTTCTCGGCTGGAATCATCAATGAGTTGTCTCCTCCTTGATGATCTTTTCTGTAGGTCGAACTAGTGTAAGTGGTCTATACTTTGACTCTGATTTCTGAACATTATGTTCTTGATGGCGTTTCATCTTCCTCTTAATATCAAGAATTGTAAGGGAGATACTTTACAATATACCTCCCCATCGAGACACAGAAGCCTACACGCCTATCCAATACAAAGTTGGGGACCACACCCGCTCCACTAACGCTCACCTCCCTCAACACTAACTAACTAACTAACCATTATCTCCCTTTTCCCCACTCGTGTATGGCAGCATTGTGCTGTTATCATGACCTAGTTTGTTTTGTTATTGTATTCTGGATCACTACAGTTGATGTAATTTCATAAATCTTGTTAGGAAATAACATCAATTGACTGCTGAAGTGAAGGATTATTGAAATTCCTTTGTGATCATACTGCTTTGTGCAGGATGTTCTTGGGAAGTGTAAGCAACTATTGCACCAATCATGTGGAATGCCCAGTCGTCGTAGTCAAGGACAAGTTAAAGGGCAGTTCGTCATGAGTTAAACAGGTACACTCAATACTCCATCAGAGGACTCTTTTATGTGTTTGTCAAAAATATAATTTTACTGTCGATTTTTTTTATTCCTTTACTGCTTTTATGACATTGTTTTAGAGTAAATTGTTTGGTATATTCGGGCACTTTTATGTCAATTGAAATTGTTTATATTAATTAAAAATCTCAATGTATTTCCCTTTGTTAAATGCCTTTTGACTCGAGGATACATGTCACAGGTTCTGGTTCTACATACATTTCCAATTTGATTATTCATACAGACTAATTGTTAAGTTATCTCCTGTCGTCATTTGGGCAGGTTTCAGTTGGTTACACTTGAAAATTGCTTATTTCCCACAGCTTTTTCATTAGGGAATAAAAAGGCAGCCTTGATATTGTCCATCATATTTTAACTTAATAGTTCGTGGGGTTCTTTTGATATAAGAGCAATCCACGTTAATATAGCTTTTAAATTGTTTTTCCATATCTTTTCTTTTGGATTCCTGGATTATTGCTCCCGGGCACTGAATTTTCGTATCTTATGAATGTTGATGGACCATTCTTCTCAAATTTTACCTTCAAAATGGATCCACATAAACGTTCTGTCTATTTACTGGCATTACAATCCAGTTTGTTCATTCTGTGAAGGATTTTCTTAGAATTTTCTTCAGTATGGAACATTATCTAAAGAGATAATCAAGAATCGAGTAAAAGAGATAAGATATGAATGAGCATGTTTCTTTCGATCCCTTTTCTGACATGTGGGTAGCTAATAAGTAATCATTGTGTATTTCACTTACATTGCAGGTTTTTTTTTTTTGTTAAGTGTGCCTGTTCGACGCTCACCGACATGTCTTATCATCAATTGGATTCCTTTTCCGCTATTTTATAATGTTCATAAGCGTTGCAGTTTCTTATGCATGCCACATCGTGCAGCCATATTCATTTTCTTTGTCGTCGAGTTTTCAAAACGGTACGTTTCGCCACTTCATCTGCTGCCTTCTTTGTTTGCATTCAAACATAGTGTCCAGCTGAAAATTGTCTTGCCTTTTGTCAACTTCTACTGCACCGAGCAACTTTTTGTGTATTCTATTTCGTTCCTGTAGGTCTAAAAGCTGGTTTGAATCTCTTTTTCGTTACAGATATTTGATTTCAAATTCATGTGCCTCAACTCTTGGACATAACCTTTTTTCTACTCATCTCTGAAGAACAGTGTTGTCTTGTTCTTTGGCTTGTTATACATACTAGTTTGGTTCTAATACTTTAATTTTGAAGATTAGGACTAAATTTGTAATTCAATAATGTTTCTTACATTTTCAAAAGAAATTATCTGAATTTGAGTAATGGATTGGACCTTGGAGAAAGTAGTTCTACCCACCAGGTCACCACCATGTAAGTTCATTAAGTCATCCCTTAATCTTTGATTAGACAAGTGAACCCTCCTAAACTTGACAAATTCAAGGTACTTCAAGCTCGAACCAAACTGTTCATTGAGAATAATATCAACCACTCACTCGAATCGAATAATATTGACATAGAGTTGTTAGAGATGACACAAATTTCACATGTATCTGTGTAATATCGACATGTGAATCTTTTGATATTAGGAAATACTACATACATAGTATAATGGATAGGAATGGACATTTCACCTTGCAGCAGAAAGACTGAAAGGAATGAACGTTTCACCTTCAGCAAAAGACTACACTGATAGGAATGAACGTTTCTTACGAATGTGCCTAATGCACTCCACATGCTATAAACTCAAACTCAAAGCCAAACAAATGTGCCTAATGCACTCCACATGCTATAAACTCAAACTCAAAGCCAAAGCCAACACGAAGAGAGTCCTAATTTACCCAATTTCACACCATATTTCATAAACACACCAAACAAAACTCTTCGCCTAAACTAATTATCTTTTAAGCCAATATAATATTGTACTTTAACTCACCCAAACACACTTTGAATAGCATAAACTCACCCAAAATACTCTCCCAAAAAGCCAAAACAAACAAACATGGCCAAACTAATCAAAAGAAACAAATTTGCAACTCTTATCAAACTTGCGTTTCTCACTCTCATCCAATAAATGCTGACTGGACACAAACGAATGCTGACTGGACACCAACGTGCATATAACTCACTTAAATTCACTTCAAATCTCACGAATTCACTCAAACAGGAAAGATTGATGAACTATGACCAATATCGTTATTGAAAGAGTCACAAAGAAGGATGAAACGAAAAGGAGTCGTTGCATACATTAAGAAGAAAAGAAGAATGGATAACAAGAGACGGTTTTGACTTTTTTCAATACAAGCTACTCGCTGAGAAAAATTCAACACGCATGGAGAGAAGTTGTATGCACGTTCCACTTATTTCACTTGTTCCAACACATGTCAACTTCAGTAAGACTTCAAAATTTCATTGATTTGTCTTTCTTATATACCTTGGTCAATGTAATTATATATGTCGAAAATATGACGTTGACCTAACTAAAAATTCTTAGTGTTAGGTAGGCATATTAAACAACCATCTAACGATCAGAATTTCAAATATTATTATTAAAACTCGAATAAATATTAAATTAATTGGAACATAACTCAATTAATACATAAACTTGAGTATGTAATTATTCTTATTTATAAAAAACTAGAAATTCAAAATTGATTAAAAATCTTCCTAACTTGTTCGAGTGTGACAAACAAGACCACGGTGAACGGTCCCTGCCGTGAAATCGTCGGAATAAAGCCTTTGTAAAGGGCCATTGGCCCTTCCGCCTTCACCGTCTTCATTGCACAGTCCAACGCCCCACTGTACGGCGCCGCCGCCCCGGCCTCCACCTTCATATTCATTACTCTCGTCTTTATAACATCCACCGGATTTGACGCCACCGCTGCCACGAACCCCGCCGTGAAGCTCGCCGTCACGTGGGTCCCCAGTCCGTCCTTCATCACTCCCTTTTCCAATATCGTCTCTTTGATCTGATCGTACGACGCTAACTGCGCCGCCGTCACGATCATCGCCCGGTTCACCGTAAGCGATGAGCCGCGCCACAGACTAGTAATACCCTCCTGCTTCGACATTCTTGTAATGGCATCCACCACTCCGGCGTAATTCCGCCGCTGAGCCACCGGAAGCCGGCCATCCGCCTGCATTCGCACCATTGCAACGTCAGCCGGGTTCCCCACCGCTGCGCCAATCCCGCCGGCGATTAGCCCCGCCGTGATTTTCCGGGACAGAGGCATATTTCCAGAATTCGGGTCAGACCATTTGGTTTTCAGGACGTCGTAGAGACCCATCCGAGTGGTGGAGTACAGAGTCTGCCGGAGAACAGTGGCAGAGACGCCGGAAAACAGAGCAGCAACGCCTTCAGACTGGACAATCCGCACGCCGACCGAGATGGGTCCGACGCGCGGAGGTTGGGGCGGCGGAATGTGGAAATATTCCGGCGTAACAACGGCGGCGGAACGAGAAGCGTTGAAAGCAACGGCGGGGCGGAGAGATGGAAGCGGCGGTTTCTCGCCGTCTAATTGCATCCGAACTTTGATTAGATCAAGTGGGTGAGTGGAGCAACCGGCAACAATGGAAGCAATTCCACCTTCGGCGAATCCTTTCAAACCCATTTTTGCAGAGAAATCAAATTTGGGGGAAAGAAGGAAGAAGACGAAGATCAAGAAAAGGAGAAGAAAAAATTGGGTATCGGATTTTATGGGTTTTTTCCGACGAAGAGCGGCGGAGAGAAACCGGTGGGGATTGAAATTTGGGGTTTGAAGAAAGAGTTTATATTGGAAATCGCAGGGGATTCGGCGGCCGGATCTTTACGCGTGGCGGGTTGGAAGAAGATGCCGGGAACCCAACAATTCTACCATAATTTGCCTAAATTATTGCTATTACTAATCACTATTAAAATAATATATAATTTTTTTAATAAATAAATAAAAATTAAATTCGTTTTTATTAAATTTAAAAATATTATACCATATAGTTTATATGTAAATTAGTAATTGTAGAAAACTCATATTATAAAACATTTTCATAAATTTGTTAATTATGATTCATAAATATATTATCAAACATAATTTTTTTTTTAATTTTTATCTAGTACCAAATACATACCAAATTAAATTATTAAATGAGAGCCCGTAACAATATAAAGAGAAATCAAAGAAAAATATATACAGAATTGAAGGAGTAATCTCGTAATACTGTTCTAAAATCTTATGAACTTATTAATACAAATTTTAAGGCTTAAACATTTTTATCGAAAAATTTGAAAAGTCGAGAGTTAATAAGTCAAAACAGTCGACTTTTGAATGAATTAAGTAACCTAAAGAGACTGATAATGATTTCCACGTGGATTTTAATTTTAGATGAGAAGTTTTGACCTATTCAATTTTTTCAATTGAATTATTTAATGAATTGAATTATTTAATGGATTGATTAAGATTTGTGAAGTTAAATGGAAATGAGCAAATATATTACTGAGATGGGTTAAATTATAAATTTAGTTTTTAAGTTTTTTTTAAGTGAATTACGGAGCTTTTAATGTTGCACAATTGAATTTATAAGAAATATATATATAATTTTAAAATTTTAAGAACGTACATAAAAACTTTATATTAAAGAGACTTTTTTAGGACCATAAAATTAGTTTAAACATCCCATTTGTAATTTGATCGTTTATTGGTCGGGCTAAATCAAAAAATAAAAAATAAAAATCTAATAAAAAAAAGTTCAAATCATGTTAGGTCTAACAGAGGTAACTTAATATTTTAAATTTATCTATATTGTAGACTAGAGATCCCACGTCAGTTGGAGATGAGAACAAAATATTTCTTATAAGAGTGTGGAAAATTCTTTTTAGTAGACACGTTTTAGAACTGTAAGGCTGATGGTGATATGTAATGAGCCAAAACAGACAATATTGGCTAGCGGTGGATTTGGACTGTTACAAATGGTATTAGAGCCGGACGCTAGGTATAAGGGTGTGGAAACTTATCGTTAGTAGATGCATTTTAAAACTGTGAAGCTGACGATGATACGTAACGGACCAAAGCAGAAAATATTTGCTAACGGTGAATTTGAGCTGTTACAAATGATATCAGAGCTAAACACAAAGTAGTGTGCCAACGAGTACACTGGACATAAAGGTGTGGAAACCTCGAATTTGGGCTGTTACGAATGGTATCTGTGATGTCCCACATTGGTTGAAGAGAAGAACAAAACACCCTTTATAAGGGTGTGGAAACCTTCCACTGGCAGACGTGTTTTAAAGCCTCGAGAGGAAACCCGAAAGGGAAAGTTCAAAGAAGAATATCTGCTAGCGGTGGATCTGGGTGGTTACCGTATCAGAACCAGATACTGAACGATGTGTTAACCACCTCAAATTTTAGCGATTACAAATGGTATCAGAACCAAGCATGGCACGATGTGCCAGTGAGGATGTTGGACACAAGGGTATGGAAAACAGAGACACGATGTGCCAGTGAGGATGTTGGACACAAGGGTATGGAAAACAGAGACAATGGACGGTATGCCAGGGAGGACGGTTAAAACTTGGAGTTAGTGCTTGATTTGTTCTTAATTAATACTTAAACTGGGTGACTCATTCCAAGAAGAAGGCTAAATAAAGAGGAGTCAAAGTCAAAAGAAAGTCAACAACTAGTGGAGTCCACATTAGGGCACCGCTCATTCTTCTTCCACGCCTCACGCGTAAACGTTTCCCAACCCATCTACCCTTTCTATAAATATTCTTCTTCACTTGATTTGCCCAAACAAACCACTTTGTTCTTCTCGATTTCAGAGATGGGTTTGAAAGGATTCGCCGAAGGTGGAATTGCTTCCATTGTTGCCGGTTGCTCCACTCACCCACTTGATCTCATTAAAGTTCGGATGCAATTGGACGGCGAGAAACCGCCGCTTCCATCTCTCCGCCCCGCCGTTGCTTTCAACGCTTCTCGATTCGCCGCGGTTGTTACGCCGGAATCTTTCCACATTCCGCCGCCCCAACCTCCGCGCGCCGGACCCATCACGGTCGGCGTGCGGATTGTTCAGTCCGAAGGTGTTGCCGCGCTGTTTTCCGGCGTCTCTGCTACTGTCCTCCGGCAGACTCTTTACTCCACCACTCGGATGGGTCTCTACGATGTCTTGAAAACCAAATGGTCTGACCCGAATTCTGGAAATATGCCTCTGTCCCGGAAGATCACGGCGGGGCTAATCGCCGGCGGGATTGGCGCGGCGGTGGGGAACCCGGCGGATGTTGCAATGGTGCGAATGCAGGCGGATGGCCGGCTTCCGGTGGCTCAGCGGCGGAATTACGCCGGAGTGGTGGATGCCATTACAAGAATGTCGAAGCAGGAGGGTATTACTAGTCTGTGGCGTGGCTCATCGCTTACGGTGAACCGGGCGATGATCGTGACGGCGGCGCAATTAGCGTCGTACGATCAGATCAAAGAGACGATATTGGAAAAGGGAGTGATGAAGGACGGACTGGGGACCCACGTGACGGCGAGCTTCACGGCGGGGTTCGTGGCGGCGGTGGCGTCGAATCCGGTGGATGTGATAAAGACGAGAGTAATGAATATGAATGTGGAGGGCGGGGCGGCGGCACCGTACAGTGGGGCGTTGGACTGTGCAATGAAGACAGTGAAGGCGGAAGGGCCAATGGCCCTTTACAAAGGCTTTATTCCAACGATTTCACGACAGGGACCTTTCACCGTGGTCTTGTTTGTCACGCTTGAACAAGTTAGGAAGATTTTTAATCAATTTTGATTTGATAATTACCCGAAATGTGGGTGTTATTTTGTAATATCTTCAAATTCTTCATCCTAATAATTTTACATCTAGTAAACACTATTTATTATATAATCTCTAAACGTGAGATCCAATAACCATTGTACCATTGTGAGAAGAACAGAACATTCTTTTAAAAGAACATGGAAACCTCTAAAAACCTTGAGGGAAAGTTTGAAATAGAAATCCCATCTCTATAAACCTTGAGGGAAAGCTTGAAATAGAAACCCCAAAGAGAACAATTTGAAATAGAAACCTCGAAGAGAACAATATTACTAACAGTGCGCTTGAGTTGTTACAATGGGTAACAGAGCCAAACACTAAACCATGGGCCAGCGAGGAAGCTGAGCCTCGAAGGGAGTGGACACGAGGCCGTGTGCAAGTAAGGACGTCGAGCCCCGAAGTGGTAGATTGATGGGTCCCACATCAATTAAAGTAGATGAAGGGGTGAATTGTGAGATCTCACATTGGTTGAAAAAGAGAACAAAACATCTCTTCCTACCACACACATTTTAAAAGCTCGAAAGGGAAAGTTAAAAAATGACAATATCTACTAGCAGTGAACTTAGGCGGTTACACTTAAACTAGTTAAGTTGTAATGAAATAAACATCAAACAATACGAGGAAGATGTCTTTAAATCAAACAATACGAGGCAGTGAAAATTTAAATCAATATTTTGGTCAAATATATGCCTTGATCAGCTGAGTTTGGTCGGTGATTGCCACCACCTGTAGGCATAGTAGTTCAAGTGGTAAGCTTAGAAAAATAAAAAAATGGAATCACAACTGTGAGACAATCCTTGCTATACAAGATAAAAATAGAAACCAAAAAGGCAGATAAATTCGGCAGCTTTGATCAAGAAACTGGTTCCATCTGTACATCTTGGGATTTTTCATCCAGTGTGAAGGGTTCTTCTTCTTCTTCTTCTTCTTCTTCTTCTTCTTCTTCACTCCAAACACATCCATTTTTCACTCACAACTCCAAAGAAAATGTCTTTCTTAATCTTAAAAACACTCTCCGCTAGTATCATCATTCTATTACTTGTCCTTGAAGTTACCTTTTTGTGTATTAAGGCCAAGTTGACTCTCTGGACTTCCTCCTCTCTATCCAAAATGCTGCTTTGGTTTTGGCCTCCTGTTCTTCATCCTTTTATCTGGCATCTGATTTTTGGGGCTGGCTGCCTTGGCTTCCCGCTCGCTTATCGGAGTCCTGAATGGATTGGAGATTGTCAGCAGACCCTTTAGTATCATCTGAGTTTTGGACTGAGCGCTGAGCTTCAACTCCCCTGCCCTTTTCAGAACCGTCGATTGATTGGCCCGAAACTCGTCCCCGGTCCATATTCTGGAGTTCATTTGCTATCTGGCTGCGACGCTCCTTCAAGAAGTTGAGTCTGGTCGTCAGTTTCGTCAGTGCTGAAGAATTGTGATTTGGTCCCAGCTGAAACATACATAGACGAGACGTTAGAATGAGTGAATAACTACCAACCGATCCGATATTTTTCTACAGAAAAGTTCAATGATGTATTGGTCATTGCGACAGAATAAACAATCAACTCGACAAGCAGTTTGCTATCCACTAATTCCACATACGAAACTTGCAACTCACACGACACTGTTACCATTTTTACAAGGCATAATCCACCCATATTGTGAGATCCCACCTCGGTTGGGGAGGAGAACAAAACTTTCTTAGTAAGGGTGTGGAAACCTCTCCCTAGCAGATGTGTTTTAAAAACCTCGAGGGGAAGCCAGAAAAGAAAAACCCAAAGAGAACAATATCTACTAGCAGTAAGCTTGGGCCATTACAAATGATATCAGAGCCACACATCAGGCGATGTGCAAGCAAGGAGGCTGAACCCTTAGGGGGGGAACAAATTGGGAGGTCCTACATCAATTGGAGAAGGGAACGAGTGCCATCGAGGATACTGGACCCCAAAGGAGGGTGGATTGTGAGATCCTACATTGGTTGGGGA